ACTATGTAACATTCCATGATCAGACAAGAATTACATAATCATAGGGTTGCACATCCTCCACAATCCTGCAAAGGTTTTTTTCCCCTTTTTTTTCCCTATGCATAGGTATCATCTTATTAGAGACAGTTTTATTCGAGGTACTGCCTTATACTAAATATGGACACCTATTTTAGTGGAGATTCAAATTTTAGTTCATCACGTTGTAAGGGACTAACTCCTCCACTAGATCCAACCACCCTTTTGGGTGCAAAGATTTTGTTTGAGTTGAAGCCAGCACTCTCCCCAGCACCCTGAACCAACCCTGTCTTCCATCCACATATCACAAGCCCAGATTCCTGCCAATCGCCACTAAACCAGGTTCACAAAGCTAGCCCATGACAATATTCGTTCTCTCCTTATTGCAAAATCATTCAAAATTTGTCGCTTTTACATTTGTTCTGTCAAAAGCATCTATACTTTCCTCGTAAAATAGGATTTCTAAGAATCCATAATTCACTCATTTAATGAACTAATATATAGGGGTGTTCATGGGACCGAGACACCCCGGTCCCACGTTGCGTCTTGTTTGGTCATTAGATTTCAACTCTATTACAATAATTCCAAGAACAAATCAAAATCCAAATGAAAAAAAAAAAAACAAAAACCCAACAGTAAAAGATGAAGAGTGAAAGCAGAGATAGCAAGATCAGGGAGAGAGAAGGTAGCGGCGACGAAACACAGAGAGGGAGGGGAAATAGCTTTAGCTTCTGTCATGCCCAGCACCGCTTTTCTTGCCTTCAATCTCTCTTTGTTGATTTGTGCATGCAGGAAGTAACTAATGAGATCTATGCTTCCTTGTTCGGCATTTTTGTCTCCACCGTTTTATTTCCCATTTGACTGTGCAAGTGCCGAGTTATGGCAAGAGGCAAGAGAGTGATAACTTATAAGTTTGGTTGGGCGGCACAGTAAAAGAAAAAGGATAAAAATAAGGATTTGCATTTATTATATATTATATTTATATCTTAATATATGTGTTATACATATAATAAAATGAAAAAAAAATGTATAAATATATTCGGGACGGGCCCAACATGAGTAACCCTACTAATATGTTTAATTATCCGGTAAGTTGTGGCTTTTTGGGACTTGAGAATTCTGTTGATGTGTGAGGTCTTGGAACTCTGGAAGCTTGTGACTTTCATAATGAACCTATATAGGTTCTATGCATTGCATAAAATTTAAGAAATAAGTCTCATGCCTAATAAATACTGCATCTTGTCAGAGTCTTCTGAGTTATAAATGCATCTTCTGCTACAATAGAAGGATCACTCATGGGAGGAAGCTGAGATTGACTGACCCATCATTTCATCCCCATCCTGAGAGGAAAACCAACCTCATCAGAATTCATATCCATTTTGAAATTGGTTCCCAAATATAGATTCATAATGTAATTCAGCAGTCATCACCATATAGCACAAACCACACAGCTCCTTCCCGTCCTAATCCCCGAAAAAACATGGACTTGGTAAACATAGAGAACAAAAGGGGAAAACGAAGGATAAAGAAATGTGGAAGAGTTTCAGAATGCTCCAGTCGTTGGTTAGAAACCTTAAGAGTCAGAAATTTAACTGTGGAGGATTTCATAATCCAAATTTGTGGGAAGAATAATTGGGCCTCAAATAGAATAAGAAAATGGAAAGGAGAGTGAAAATTAAACATGCAGAGAAACCCAGTCAGAATTCTGAACTATTGGTTAAAAGTTCTACAAGAATTATTTCTCTTTACATGTACACAACCTTATTGGTGAGAAAAAAGACAATTGAGAAGGAAGCTTTTGCACCAAAGGCACCTGGCAAAAGGTGATTTCAAACAATGAAGGTTCCCTTCAAGCGATGGCAGGAAGCCAGACATAAAAATTGCCAGGGAAGATTAAAGTAGCTCCTGAAATAATAATTTTACGCTAAACTATTTAACATAGTGAACTAAGTCAACAGAAAAGTGGTCATACTATTTGTTGAAAAATCAACAGCAAGCAGATACGCCATTGGATAACATATTTTAAAGCACTCTAAAAATGTATTTCCTAGCCTATGTTATACTAAACACCTCTTCATTATAACTTTTGCATAGCCACTTCATACAAAGCCCTGATTATGATAGATCTGAAATCTGTTTCTAACTAAAGATCACAAACAAAGATTTAATGACAAAAGAACTTCAATTCCGTCAATGAAAAAGATGATAAACACACAATTAGCAATGTCAAGGAGTACGAGGGACTATATCATTTCGAAGTCATTCAAGTAAAAAATCTATGCTCACTTATCGTAAGTATCTTTGCATCTATATCAAGAAGTATTGATTTATGTTATGGCTTAAGAAGATGAAACGCCTTCATTTTCATTAGTTTGACTGGTCGTTCATTTCCAAATTTATGCTTAAACCAAAATATTAATAAAATTCAATGTAAGGTGTGTGAACTCATGAAACACCATAGAAACTTATTTCCTAGAGCCCCATATACTACTACCAGACCTTTCACAACCAAGCACAATGACTTGTAGGGACAATCTCGTGTTGCCAACAGTACAAAAAATGAGTGGTTCCTTATTTTCACAGATGACCATACCCGTCTTCCGTTCGTCAGCTTTCTAAAAGACAAGAATGAGGTTTCATTTGTTTTTCATAATTTAGGACTTTAGAGTTTAATTATTCTTGGCTTTTAGTATCATATGCAAATGAGTATCAGAGAGCTTTGAATTTGGAAATCTATATAAATCATGTTAAACCATGTTTCACTTTCACATAGTTTGGAAACGCTTTAGAATATTTTTCAAACATTAGTTTCCAGTTAACGCGTCAATCATATCCCTATGCATTAACCACTTTGTTTTCAATTTGATTTTGCTTCTATCTAGTGGGTAACTAGTTAATCCTTGTACTTAATGTATTAGGTAGCTTTTAGAGAGGTTTTTCTGCTTCTATATATCTCTTCATCAACGCATTTTCAACATAATATAAATGCATAAAAACATGAATCATAATACTAAATCCAAATATGTTAAATATTATCTGTATAGGTGAGTAATAGCTTTTCAATCAATAAAATAACCAACATATAAAAGGATTGTAAATATTTTTACAAGCAAACGGACATACTACCTCTGGTTCTTAATATAAGACCCAATTGACTCATTTAAGAAAATTAAAAAAATTAGTTAGGTTAGTTATTTATAATAAATAAGTATTGTCTTTCATAAAATATTCTTGCTAATATGTGTATTAGTTAAAAATATCATTTGATAGAATTTTTAACATGTGTAACTACTACAAAAATTATTTTAAAAAAATAAGTAAATATGAAAAACAAAGTGGATTGAGGTCTTATATTTAAGACCAAATTAAATATCAAACTAGCTCTCATATGCAATTAGGCATGCCCGCCAGCCTTTTGTCTTTTGATAATCGGACAAAAATCTTTGTTGATATTTATATGGGATTCAAAGGCTTCCAATCCACTAATTCTTTTTTATACCATGATTCTTGCATTTTAAGTCAATCATACAATTTTTTTAATTTTGTTGATATTTATACCTTTTTTATTAAAAATATGTTCTTAGTTTAATTTTTATTGAGATGCTCTCCATGGAAAAAATAAGGAGACATTCTACGTACTTATAAAATACGTATTTGAGTAATGAAAGATATTTTAGATAAGATTTTTAAATTCAACTAGAATGTGACTATTTTCCGTTTTACATAAGATTCATATATAATTTTAAAATAAAATCAATGTCAATGTAATTTTAAGAAAATTTAAGAAAAATAAAATCACCAAACCCACATGCATACATAGCCCCTGAAAACAAGGAAATATCATGAAGAAGTAGAAGGAAAAAAGGACTAAAAGTGGTCATGAATGAATATCAGAAGCAATGCCATTGAATGATGCACATAGGAGTCTTGTCAGTAAAAGACATTGTTGATGATAGGAAGAAGAATAAGAGGTTGTTCATGAAAGAGCATATATATATATATAATATGAGACATGCCAAAGTAAAAGATCTCAAGAGATAAGAATTGATCTTCAAAATATGATTCCATGAACCATGTAAACACCATGATGAAGTATAAGGCTTCTTAACTAGAGACATCTCTATCCAAGTATTTAACTCACAATATATAATACACACAGTAGGAAATCATCAGGAACATGACCTTATTTATTTGACCAAAAGAGTATGACTAACACATCTGATGATGATGATTGAAAGATTGGAGCAAGATAATAATTTTAGGGTGTAGCCAAGTTCAAAGTTCGAAATCCAAAATGGACCATGTGTGTAATATAAAAAGAATGATTTTACACTAACTAAAAGTTTAATTTGTGAGTTCGTAATAGTCAAATGAAGCACCCACGGCTCTAAAAGCACAAGCAAGTTCCTTCATAAAAGCCAAAAATGCTGAATTTCCAAACTTTAACACCGAGAATACATTAGGTCAAGCCAAGACAGCTCAGAAGTCTTGTGAAAACCAAACAATCACTACTCATATACAGCATGAAAACACTAGTGAGGCACAAGCTCAAGCCAAAATCTTTCACGAATTTCGTATCCATATATAACTGTTTAAGCAAGAAACCCACTAAGTTAGTCGAAATAGCCCATAGACCTTACCTTAAACTTGATCCACCAAATGTGAGTTAGAGAGAGGGTTGAGGTGTAGGAGGGATTGGGAATATTTGTTTATAGTACAATATTAAAAGGAAGAAAAAAGAGAGCATTTTACTCCAAGCTAGTCCAGGACCAACAAACCCTCCAAGCGCAAGCCAAATTTTGCTTACTAAACCCTGATTTTTTGCCCATCAACCGTGAAATTAATTCTCGACAACTCATTCAAACAAGCAACCAATAAAAATTAGTCCGGATGATAAAAAAAAAATGGTTCATAACCTATACCATCATGAGTTCAAATTCTATTGTTGATGTGAGGGTATTTTTAAAAAGCGATCTATAAGTATTTCTGTGAGTACTTTTTGAGTTTGGTAATATGTCCCGGTCTTGGTGAGTTCTATCAAACTCAATTATCTTGGCAAAAAAAAAAATTCAAACAAACACTGAAGCATGTTAAGCCAATCCTACAGCCAAAAATATCAGTAGCTTCTTGAGTTATGTTTTTTTTTGTGGTGTGTGATAGTAATGTCATACCTATACACAAATAGCTAAGAGAGAATTACAATGAAATTCAATAGGAAAAAAAAACTGTCAACAAGTCTCAATAACAGGTTAGAAATTATTATTTTTTTAACTATGAGACTTGTGATTATACAATACTTAAGTTGTTATTAAGATTTTTTGATAATTATAATTTTTTAAAAAACCTGATTACAATTGTCCCAACCACCAATGACACCTGAATTCTCGAAGTGACCGTCGGCGGAGGGCCCTTTGGGAGATTCAACTGGAGCCGCAAAGAAGCTTGTTTTCAACTAGTTTTTGAAAACTAATTGATTGATTTGAGGGCTAGCATGAAAATTTTAAAAATAAAACATAAATGTCTAAAGCCCAATTTGCATAATACCCATGATAATGTATTCTATTTTTAAAATATTAATATTTAATAGTATTTAATCATAAATTTATATAAGAAAAACATAATCATGTGTGATTGGATAACGTGACATAATAATATAACAAACTTGATCTAAATTTTTTCTCATTAGTTACTATCTCTGGTCTTAAATATAAGATTTTATTTATAATTTATAAATAAAATCTTATAATTAGGACTATAGAATAATATTATTCAACGGCCATAAATTAAACTCAAAAATAGGAATGAAAATAAAAACAGCAAAATTCCTGCACGCGAATGTCTCCAATCTTGCTGGAGGGGACAAGCTTCCTCTTAACCTCTTGTGAATTGGGTCACTTCCGTCATTCGCAGGCGTGGGTCCCGCACACTGCCCCTTCACTTGCCGCCTTCCATGCCAGCCGTCATTACATACTGCCGCATCTTCGAAAAAAATCTACGCTCCATTCCCAACCTCACATGTATCTTTGATTTGATAGTGGGGTCCAGGAGAATGGTGGGGGCTTGAATGATTGCAAGTGGTACAAAAATAATTGAGCCTCAACCTGCAGCAGTTGGGCATTCTTCACCGCAAATTCCCCTGCAGGCTGCAGCTGCCTTAAAGGCGTTGGAATCTAATTAGCATGAAACGACAAGGTAAAAGAACGCTGCTGCTTAAAAGACGTTCATAAAAAAATCTCAAATATCACCAAAAAGCCCACCTCATCACACATGTCGCTTGCGTTGCCCACCTCCCTCCAATGTTGCTCTCCTTCTATCACCTCCCAACTTGCTCCTAAACTTTGATGCTCATTGAAACATTATACCCTTAACCCAACCTCTCAGATTACATATTTAAAAGCGTTATAATTCAAGTGATTCATAAAACAAACTCGTAGATTGAACTATGTGATTAGTTTTCGGGTTACTTTTTACTGATAAATTTTATATTTTTAGTCCAACTTTGAGTAATCATAACTCTTAACACACACATCTGTTTTAAGTATTCTACCACTTGTTTTAAAGCTCAGGATGTCTACTTTAATCATACCAGATTTCATGGGCAGAGTCAGTCAGTTGCCATACTTCTAGTCTATTACTATTTTGTTGCTTAATTAGGGATAGCTTATCCCCTGACTTACACTAACAGTTCATGATTAGAACTTTCCATACGTAATACCATTCCATTCATACATAAATCAATCCCATACATTATCATAACTAATTACACAAGCCAACATCATCATTTATCATCACATACCATCAATGGCACCTTTACAACATACATTGGTATATACAGTGTACAACGTAATATAATACATTTCTTAGATTCTTTTCTTCTCTTTCTTGCTCTACTTCTTGGTTTCTTCTCCCATCCTCTTGCATCTAGTATGGTTGGTTAAGAGAGGGTGAGATTCGAAAAAATCTCAGTAGCAAACATTACTATTTATGCATGCAAGTGCATAACATGCTTCTGTGCACATAACTTTATCATTTATGCATGGTGAAGTGCCATGGAAAGTAAGCCAGTTCATTCATATTCACATAACATAATGCCAATGCATGCTTAACTAAACATAGCAATTATAATTCAGCAGCATAGCTTAGTCACATCATGGCATTCATAGCATATACACACATACACATCAAGCACACAAGAAAGGTAAGTTCACTACCTTGTATCATAAGTTTTCTTTTGTTCTTCAACTTGCTCCTTTTTGCTTCCAACCATTAAGGTTGCTTCCTCAACCTTTGCCATTCCTTTTCCTTAATGTCTAATGGCTCTAAATGCACCAACACGTCATTTTCATTCATTCATTAGAACCATGGTAATCAACAACATCAATACTTTGCTTTGTTTGAGTTATATTAGCTTCTAACTTTTGAGCTTGATTTCTAACCTTTCTAAAATTAATTCCACATGCTATTCCCACACAATTTTGCATGTAGAATATATTTCTAAGCTCAAAATAATTAAAATCAAACTCCTTCTCCATGAACTAGCATTGACCGAAATATAACTCAAGTTACATAGTCATGAAAGTCAACCAATTTCAATATAAAACCACTTGATTTTTGTTCCTTTCAAGCCTTTAAACATTATTCTAACATCAATTTCATCTTTTCTTATTCTTAAGAATTTCGTGTAGCATGTCCCCCTAGAGTTTCAAGCTTCCAAAAACCATTAAAATCCATAACCAAACTCAACAACAACAAGAGTAGTGAAAACTACATCAAAAACCACGAACATACCTTGTTTTAGACCTTGATCTTCCATGAGACCACTTAGCCTTTCTTTGTCCCTCCTCTTTCTCTCTCTTGAAACCATTTTGCCAAAGCTTCTCCAAGGTTTCCATAAGGTTAGGACGAAAATGAGGGAGGGGAGGGGATATTTATAGAAAATAAGACTGAATCTGGGCCGTTGATCTTAAAAATATATAGCTTGATCTGGACTGTCTATTTTCTCTTTTAATCTTATGATGACAAGTATCCCATGACATCATGCTTACATAATATTGATGACATCATACTTACATCATCAATCCACATGCTTTTAATCTAATCGTATACGTGTCTTGCATTCGATCATACACGTGTCTTATATCCAGCCGTACACGTGATACCTTTTTTTTTTTTTTTTCATCTAACCATACACTTGTCTCCTCCATATTCCTTCATCATTTTGGCATTAAAATGGGAAATAAATTAATATAAAATTCGTGCAAAATGCAACCCTTAAGCATTCCTTCACCTATCTTGCCATTCTGCATCATATAGGGCATTTTTTCGGGTCCTGACTTACCTGGGACCACTGGGACATATTCTGTCACTATTTTCTCACCTCAAATAAATCCACATGGCATCATATAACATGTATAAAGAGAAAGTGATGCTCTTCCCTTGCTTTTCCATTAAAATAATTAAAAATATTTATTTTGGAATAATCTTGACCGAATTCTTTTTACTGGTCCACAACTCTGAAAATCTATCTCCGGATACCAATACTATTTATTTATCACATGGAATTCCTTTAATTTTTATTAAGTCAAAAGTCAACCTCTAAACATTTGACTTTGACTTTCCTCGAATAGTATGTAAATAGGCTTTAAATTCCATTAAAGCCAATCTCTTCACTTTCTGGGAACGGAATTATTTTTAAAACTTGTGATAATTCCTCAAGTATTTCTCCCCATTTTCTTCCAATTATATGAGGCCTCCCTCTACTTTAAATAATTCATTTTCAGTAATATTCAAAATCAGTCAAAACTCTAGGAATTCCACAAATTCCTTCTAAGGGCATTTTCATCATTTGTAGCCTCATACAGGCCTCTGAACTTTATTTCTATTTTTCTGAAATTTTTCTTAGCTATTCAGGCCTTAACCTACCATTTTCTATTTTCGTGGATTTTTCTGGGATTTTCGAGCATAATTTCTATTTTTACCCTTACCAGTCTAAAACTTTACAAAATTACGATTTTGCTTCTAATTTGGCTTAACCTCAAAATTCACCTCATTGAGGCCTCCTTTTGGCCTACATTTATCTCTATTTCTCATTCTTAGGCCCCGAGACTTTTTCTAAGTCTCTAATTTCCTCTTTTCTTAGTTTGAGAAAACTTTCTCTTTGTGATTTAATCCTTAGAAATCCCTCTATTCCTCTAGGGAACCTCTAGAATCTTTGCCAAAAGGGATTTGGTAGTCTACCCATTTCAGGGTAATTCTGGTATTTCTAGGCCCAAAATTCAAAATGTGACACTCATTGCTAATTTTCTTCTCTTTTCACAATTTTGCTCATTTTTTCCTCACTGATTAATTTATTGTGTTTAATATTATCAGGTCTGATTAAAGCAGTATCTGACCTCGAATAAGATGTATAATTCTTCTAAAAGTGTCATTATTTCGCATTCCATTTTTGAAAAAAAAAAAAAGCATAACGCCATTGTTAATAATATACTTTGGTCTTATTTATAAGGTAAAATAGTATTTTTTTTCATGCTACTTATAAATAACATCATTAAATTTTTATATGAATGATGTATGCATAATTATATTTTATCCTTTGTTTTATTCTGGTCCTATTTATGTGGTGGAAAAAAAATTTTCCATATGAATGTACAACTTTACTATTTATTTTTTATTATGTTGACTTTTTTCATTGAAAATAATATACATTAAATAGGAATAAAATTATAAATTTGTGCAATTTTTTTTTTAAAGAAAAGTTGTGCAAAATTATTGAAGTTTAAAGTTTTTTCCTATTATGTATGAAACATATTGGAAATAACTTATAAATAGGATCAGAAGAGTATTGTGTATTATTATTTTCCTCAAAAGTGTGTATATATGTATATATTAAATAAGGACCTAGTTAGAAATTTATTAAATTTTAAAGCATAAATAATTATGTTTAAATTTTTTTTCAATAAAACATGTTGGAAGTGTTTTTATTTAAAAAAAAAAAAAAGGGACAGAGGAGCACAAACAAGTTTATCTTGAATTTTGAGAAAATGTATGAGGTCAATCGTAATAATTTTTTTAATGTGATTGATTGAAAAGAAAAAAATAAAATGAAGAAAATATTGAAGGGCTGTTGAATCTGATAGTGAATTTTTCTTGGAAGTATAGTGTTTTATGACCAAAGTCAACTTATATTTCAGATAATATTGTGGCCCAAATCTCATTTAAAACAATAACATTCTTGTTAAAAAAAACTATTAATCTTCTATTTCCAATATAACATGATATTATATGTTATATGGTACTTTAAGCCTTAAGAGAATCAATCAGATCAATAAAATAAAAACAAGATAACTTGAATAATGTGATAAGAAAATCAATATTCATATAAAATATCAAAAGCATGGAAAATTAAGAGTTATTTATAGGGACGAGGAAGTGGTATTCAACCATATCCCTAGAGAAAACAAAACTAAGGCAGACTACTTGGGCAAAATGTCTCATAGTTTAATAGGTAATTTTTGTATTCTACCTCTCCTTAATAAAGAGGCGGTCTTTGATGAAGGAGTTCGGTGATATGTTTCGTTTTCTTTTGATTTTGGTGGCTTATTTCTTTTGAAGTTGCAATCAGTTTCCATTCAAAAAAAATTTACGAGGTCTATCATAGTGTTTTTTTTAATATAACTGATAAAAAGAAGCTGTTGAAAAGTATTTATTTAAAAATCGGATATGTTTTTATACACAAAAAATACTGATACTTTGTAAGATTTTATACATAAAAAGTATTAGTGCTTAAATTCAAGTTTTTCTGACTAGTAAAATTTTCAAACAAAATGTTTTCATCGATTTTTCTAAAAATATAATGAAAAATGATGGAGTGTATTAAAATCAAGAATAAAAGTTGGAAAACAAAATCATGAAATTTAAATAAAATAACATGCCCTAAATGCTCTTTAGTAACCGAGAGATCACCGTTTCAGCCCGGCTAATAATTTGAGGTTGGTCGTATCTACCCATCTAATTCAAAACTATCCAATCACACATCTTGTATATTTATTTGATTGTAGTTTAGAAAATGACTGTGTTAGGTCAGTACTGACGAGATGAAAATAAAATTTGGGTTAACATATAAATTTATTTTGAAGGTTTTCACTTACAAGCGTTAAACACTTGCAATTTTTTTAGGTGCAAATTTGTTTCGAAAATTTAAAATTATAACAAAGTTGAGCTAAAAATGTTAACAATTAATGTCATGATTTTAATAGTCAATGTAAATATTTTAACAGTAATAGACAAAACTATTGAGAGTTTAAATTTTTGAGGCAAATTTATATCTAAAAAAAACCTTTCGGATGTTTAGCGCTGCTGAATGGAAACTTCAAAGATAAATTTACATATTAACTCATAAAATTTTAGGTTCCAATTATTTGGTTTTGGACACTATTGTTTATTATTACTTTTATCCTCTGATTTTTAATATAAAATCTAATTTATAGTTTAATCCATTAAAGTAAATTTTATATTAAGCACATGAGATATTAATATTTTTCATTTTAGTTGGGCCTAGAAATTCAAGCAATAAAACTAGAAATTAAAATGTAGAAAAGGGTTCAAATTCATTTTAATACTAGCATAGCTAAGAAATTCTTGAACACTTGGGGATGCAATGGTTAAGAGTAGATTTGCTTGTAGAATTTACAATATACACAGAACTCAATTTGAATCGTTGAAGTTCCATCATTTGAGTGCTTCAAATGTAAATATTAGAATCTAAATTTTACTCACATTGAGGTTGACAAAAACTAATTATTAATTCATGCGTCCCCCTCCTCTATCCCAAAAGCATTGGTTCTTCACTTTGCTTTTTGGTAATTTTCAACTTTCATCCGTTCATATAATTCTCATCCCATGACAACTTGAGAGGGGAAAAAATAAATAAATAATGCCACTAGGCACCACCAAATAAACAAACATGAAAGAAAAACCATTTGGCTGGAAAATCAAAACCAACATAAAAAAAAAAAAGGATGTTTAAGTGAATTAAAACTCATCTGTACCTCACATATCGTAAGTCACCATCATGCTTCGCTAATTGGCTTGGCTTGCTCGCTTCATTTATTAACCATCATCAATCATTAGTTTGGATTCTGATGAAACCAACCAGAGACTCCGCCACCCTTTTCTCCGCCACACCATGGCGGGACACTCTGTCTCCTATGATCATCCAACCGTCACGACTCCTCTACTACACAACCGGTGGCGCCACGCTAGCTTGCCTACCTTGAGATTTGTTCATAGAATTTACAATATACTCCTATAGTCCTATTTATAAAGCATTTTCAGTATGTTTCACATAGATTAAAAAAAAACCTTACACTTCATTAACTCTCATTTAAAATTTAATAACTTTCTAACTTCATCTTTATTTAATATTCATTATATCTCACGTAAACAAAATTAACACAATAATAAATGAGGGCTAAAATTATACATCCATATAAAAAATTTCTCTTACTATCCTATAAATAGGATCAAAAAATATCTTCTCTTCCTGCTCTATAAATAGGACCAGAGGAGTACGCAGAACTCAATTTGAATCGTTGACGTTACACTCACAATGTTCATGAAGCAATTGCTCCATAGACTAACTGGACGATTCAAATTGACTCGTATGATCTCATGTCACTTTCTTCCAGAGAAATATATACGATTTCGTCCTGTTATAATTATTTTTTGTGTGTGTGTATGGGGGCCATTGAAGGTTAATTTACACATGAAAATAATGCGGACTTTGAAGAATTATCTCCGCGTGGAAAGTTCAAAGTCGGCCCGCAAGGTATTTGTTGACTATAGCAATTAAGAAATACAAATTGCCTTACGATCCTCCGGAAAGGACAAAGATTTAGCATGTATTTTTAAAAGAATAAACTTATTATAAAAGTCCAATATTATTATTAATTGTTATATTAATTTAATAAACACATGAAATTACATATGAAATTTCTTTTATATTTAGAAATCATTTAACAAAAGTATAAAGTATGATTTTTTTTTTAAAACTGGTAATTTGCATTCCCCATGTGTGATAGTTTAACTGTTTTAAGAACTTAATTAATAAAAATATGTAATACTCTTTCTGTTCTTAATTTAGAACCTAATTATTGAGTTAATTTTAGTTCCAGATATAAAACTTATTTTTCATATTTATCAATTTTTTTGAAATTACCCTTATAGATCTCCTTCAACCATAATCAAGTAGAAGAGGAAGAGATGATATTCAAGAAGATGATTATGATGTTTTAGAAAAAACATGTCATAATTTTTATAATTAAGTAACTTATTTAATTTTTCTAATTTAATCAAATTAGTTAAACAGATTTTATATTAAAAATCAACGGAGTATTAATTTTTTAAACAACAAAAATCTAGTAAATTTCAATTAACTATTAGTTGTTACCAACCATGTGAGTCCCACATGCCGTCTCTCTTCCTCCTCCCTATATAAACCTCTGCTGAACCCCTTCCTCTGCAGAAAAATATATTTTCTTCTTTCTCTTCCTTCTTTCCTCCTCCACTTGCTCTTCGATTTTCTCGCCATCCAATCTTTCCAAAGCTCAAAACCTCTTTTACCTCACCCACATTGCTAAAAGTTTTGAACTTTCCACATTGTGATACTTCCAAAGCAACCCCATCAAGCAAACAAGAGATCCCAACCCAGAACATAAATCTTATCGATTCTCAGATACCCATTGAGCTTTTCTCCTGTTAACTGCAGATTTACTTCATTCGCATTTCGCTTAAGCTAATTCGAAGCATTCATAATGATCTCTTCAATCAAGTACACGACACCTTCACTGAGCTGCTCTGCTTTCTCAACAAGCAGAAAGCTTTCTGTTCCAAGGCCTCATCTTTACACACTACCTGTTATTCAGAATGCCCAGCAAAACCCAGAAACTGAACTCTCCATCTCTTCCCAAAAACCCCTTTACATTTCATCGACTAAGAGCTTCACATTTCTGGCAAATCCCAGAAGGAGGGTTACAGAATGCCAAGCCTATGAGGCAGAGAGGTCGCGACCCATTGAGATTAACATCGAACTGCCTGATGAACAGGCTCAGATGGAGGCTACTCAGAAGCTCAAGATTGGCTTGTACTTCGCCACTTGGTGGGCTTTGAATGTTGTGTTCAATATTTACAATAAGAAGGTTCTCAACGCGTTTCCTTACCCATGGCTTACTTCCACTCTGTCTCTGGCCGCTGGTTCTCTTATGATGTTGATCTCATGGACCACAAGGATTGCGGAGGCGCCCAAAGTTGATTTGAATTTTTGGAAGGCCCTGCTTCCGGTAAGTCAATCCCTTTTTTCCCCAGATTTCTTGATTGACACGCAATCAATAATGCTACAAGTATGTGATCTAGAATTAATAATAATTAAGAGGTTATAATAAGCCTATTATGGACTGTCTCTAATAGCTTTAAGCTTATGAGTTTGGAAAAATAATTGGTAGAAATCAAACTGAGTTAATCATGACCATTCATGCAGTTATGTCAAAATTAAATTTTGTGAGATCCACATATTACTGCTAACATTAAAATAACCTGATAGCAATAGCTTTAAGACCTTGCAAAGTTTTGTCCTTACCCTTTTTGAAGTCTAACCTCAGAAAAAATGAGGCCTCATCAGAGTCACTTTCTGTGTTCATAGCCATCAAAAAGTGGGTTGATGTGAAGGATTATGGTTTAGGACTCACCGAGAAAGTTGATTATGCAGGTGGCTGTGGCCCACACAATTGGGCATGTTGCAGCAACTGTGAGTATGTCAAAAGTTGCAGTTTCATTCACCCATATCATCAAGAGTGGAGAGCCAGCTTTCAGTGTCTTGGTCTCAAGGCTCTTGCTTGGAGAGGCATTCCCTTTGCCAGTTTACATGTCTCTGATTCCAATTATTGGTGGTTGTGCACTTGCTGCAGTCACTGAACTTAACTTCAACATGACTGGTAAGCAAGTTACTTGTCCACAAAGACAATTCCCGGCTCATTACATGTTCCAATATGATGTTGAGCTTGTGATTCTGATCCCATTTGTTTCCATGCTCTAAGTACAAAACTCTGTGTTTCAGGTTTTATGGGCGCTATGGTATCAAATTTGGCATTTGTGTTCCGGAACATATTCTCAAAGAAGGGAATGAAGGGGATGTCAGTTAGCGGAATGAACTACTATGCTTGCCTTTCAATGATGTCTCTATTGATTCTCACACCTTTTGCCATTGCTGTGGAAGGTCCCAAAGTTTGGGCTGCTGGCTGGCAAACGGCTGTGTCTCAGATTGGTCCCAATTTCGTTTGGTAAGCAAAACAATGTGACTATCTGATCATTGTTTGTTTTCTCTAACTTAATCACTTGCAATTGGTAGAATTTCATTCTAGTTATCAGTTTTCTTCTTCTATGCAACATAACAAATGGATTCTGGTTCGAAATTTTACAGGTGGGTGGTTGCCCAGAGTGTCTTCTACCACTTGTACAATCAAGTGTCTTACATGTCTCTTGATCAAATATCTCCCTTGACATTCAGTGTTGGGAACACAATGAAGAGAATCTCCGTGATTGTCTCTTCCATCCTTATCTTCCACACTCCAGTTCAACCTGTCAACGCCCTTGGGGCTGCCGTTGCAATTCTGGGCACCTTCCTCTATTCACAGGTGATTTGTCGCTTCCCCGAAAGCTGATTTTGATTCTTTGTACCCTGCAAATATGATGTAAACGCTTGTTCATATCTCTCGACTGGGGAAAAACAGAGTAACTATAATGTAACTCCTAAAAGCAAACGAAGTCATAATGGGATGTGCAAGAACACCTCAATTAATAACACAATTTGATGACAGAACCTCTACAGAAAAGTTATTACATATGTTTGGGATATGACTAACATTTTTAATATGATTCTGAGCAGGCTAAGCAGTAAACTGAAGCTGGCATGTGACACAGGAGATGAAGAGAGTGGTTTAAGCTCGAAGTGTCAATGATCACAATTGAAGTTGAAGAAGAAGAATTATTGCGGTCAATGGGACTTTTATGCCAATTTTACTAATCTTGGGAGGCGATAGTTAGAATTTATAATCACGCTTTGAGTCTGGTTGCCACTGTAGATAGTCTTCCTTCCTTTTTCTTCCTTCTTTCTGCAATCTAAAGGCTGAGCGAGATGTACTTGAATGGAATAACAATGATGTTTCAGACATTTTGAGGCTTGAAAGTTCATGAATGACAAAATCCCTGCAATTTTTTGACCTTTCGAATTAAAGGCAATAAATAATGATAACTGTAATAGAGTTAAAGAATGTGTTTTGTTCGGCAGCCGTGGCCCAAAGCATAACAAATGCAGATGAGCTCATGATATTCATCCAACCCAACAACTCCGTTAGCCCAATACTATTTGACTATGTTATGCTGAGTCAGGTCATTCTGCTGGAAACCAGACAATGTGGTGTTCAAATGTCAATTCAGTTATTGGATCAAAGCAAGTGAGGCCGAATATGTAACATTTAAAGGGGGATGAATCCGTGTTTGCGCAATTTCAAAATGTGTTTTGCCAAGGGAAGTCAAGTTAGTGCATATTTCTAGAGATTGTAACACGGTTGCAGATGCGTTGGCGAAGAAAGGAATTGCAGAGACATCTTTGTATGAAGTTTGTCCAGGGAACCTTGCGGTACTTGTGCAGAAGGAGAGTTTGGGAGCTGGTACCAGTCTATCTAGTTTCTTGTAATTGGGCTCTGCCCTCTTTTGTACCAAAAGAAATGTGTCTTGCCAAGCAATGAAATATAAATGGTAAATGTAAATAAGAGTTGATTCAGTTGGTAAATATTGGTTCATAACCCATAAGGTTTGTAAGTACTTTTTTAAGCATTTTCTGAATTTAAAGGCATATTCTGATCCTGATAAATTATGGGACTTAATTCACCTAAATTTTTTATAACAGGAAAAAATATAAATAGTAATTGGGCCGCTTAGATTGGGATGCTATGTATCGTTATGGCCTATGTCTTCAAGGAAACTAACTGGCCTATATGTCCTTCAATGAGCTAGCTGGTGAGCCGTTGGAGAGATTCAATCTTTTGCACTTCAAAAACTTGATCGATTTTCTTCATTCAAATCATTTTCTTTGAATGTGTGGCTTCCATGCTTCCATTTTCTTTCCTCACACATCTAATTTCTGTACAACTCTTTTTTTTTTTTTCAAAGTGAAAAATCATATTAAACTCCAACTAATCCTGGTCAAGATGAATAGAATCACAAGGATGGTAAAATTTTTCTTATAGTATTTAACACAATCGCATATGTAGAGTTCAAACCGGTGACCAAGGTTCGGGTAAGCATAATTCCCACCATCTTTATATTATCAACTCATGGCTAGACTCCATTCTCTTCACATGTTAGGCGACGTCCACTAGGCTCTCTTTCTTTCGCTAGATGTTATTTCAAACTGAAAAGTCACATTCAACTTCAACTAATCCAGGTCAAGAAGGGAAAAAAAATTACCAGGGTGATAAAATTCTCCTAACGAGTATTTAATACAATGAACGAAAAATTGGATGGGACTGGTCGGTTTAGATCGGAAACCGGTGAGCCGACCAATGGTCTGGTCTAGTTCATCAACAAAACTAGTGGGAGATTAAACCGGAGTAAACCGAAATGAACCAGTGTAAACCGGCATCAAACCGGGAAAACCGTCGATTGCATTGAGTTGTTCAGGTCACTTTAAAAAAATTGCTCAAGAAAAAAATCTGATGTAAAAATGAAAAATTAACAGAAAAAGAAAGGTAGGAGAGGAGGAAGAATAAGACTAAAAGAAGGAGAGCAGTACCAGCCAAATCTGAAGGAAGAAGGAATGAAGGCAAGAAGGAGAAAGGAGGACAATGGCTGAGAGGGAGAGGTAGGGAGGAGAGGAGCTTGCGATTATTTTTTGGAACCAGAGAGCAGAGCCTGTTTTTGCTTTTTGAAATACGGAAGAGGAAGAAGAAGGAGAAGAAGAAGGAAAAACTACTCCCTACGAAAGCTGTAGAAATCTTCAGAGAGCGAGAGAGGTGGAAGAACAAAGAGACAAATGAATTTGAAAAAGAAAAAAAAAAAAAAAAAGGAAAGAGACGGAAGAAGCGTTCACAAAGAGAGAGAGGGGGTGGAAGAAGAAAAGACAACTCAATTTACAAAAAGGAAAGAAAGAGACGAATGAAGGGAGCTGTGTGCCTTGGAAGGAAGTTGAAAAGATGGGGGACTTTGGAGACTTATCATCATAAATGTTTCTCTTATGTGTTTCGTTTTTCAAAGACTTATATTATTATATATGAATACATATTATATAATTACATAATTAATAAAATAAGATGAAAGTCCTGTCAAATTTTATAACATCTTTTATTTTTTGAGAGTGATATTATTTATGAATTTCATTTTATTTTAATATTTTGAATAAAATTGTATTATTTTAATATGACCGGTTTGACCCCGGTCCAACCCTGGTTCAACCAGTAACCCTTAACTAACTATCTCAACCAGTTTTCTGGTCCGGTTTTTTATTCCTTGATTTAATACAATTGTATACACAGTACATAGAGCTCATACTTAGGATCACTAGTCAAGTGAGCACAATTCATATTATTTTTATATTACTCTTTCAGTCCTTAATATAAAACATAATTAATTAATTGTATAAATTAATGATAGTAGTTAAATTAATTAATTAGTCAAATTAAGTAATATGATATGTTTTTTCTAAAATATTCTAAGCATATTTCTCAATTCCCTCTCTTCCTCCCCCTACTTGATTATTGTTGCTAGCATATCAATAAGGTTAGTTTAAAAAAAAATTAATAAATATATGAAATATGTCTTATATATAAGACCAACATCAACTCCCTAATTAGGTCTTATATTAAGAACCGAAGGAGTAACTTTCTGCTAACTATTATTTTTAGGTCATCAACTCATATCTAGGCTCGATTCTTTCGTACTTTAATTTAGTGAAAGAAACATAGAGGCGTAGTGGATCTCACTTGACATGTGGGATCCATAAAGTTAAAACTTTGCTTTTTTTTTCGTCGGTATCTTAAGCCCATGCACTCACTAGAGTCGAGACATGCCACAAGGCTCAGATAGTATTTACAGAGATACTTATATCGACAGTGAGATTAAAACTCTCCTTTTGATTTCTAATTCTATACCGTATATCCCAAATAATTATAACCTCATGAAAAGCCAAGTTCAGATGATTCCAACGCCTTCAATTACCAACGGGTAATTTTCCTTTCCTTTTTGTTGCACTATGGGTTCTTTATCCGCACGCACCTTTAGTTTCTCTATAAGAGTCTTGAGCTCGTGTCCTTCCAGATTCCACCATGAATATTGAGAAAGGTCAACTTCCTTCTCAATGATTGTAGGATTCTTGACAAGTCGATTGCCAGTTTCCAAAAATGTTGCAATCAAACTAGCTTTGCTTGTCCATCTTCCAAAACTTTCCAGATTGCGTATCAGATTTGATTTATTCCTAACAATGCAAAATCAAATCCTTTTGCAATAAATGATAGACTTTTCCAGTCTATATTATTTTAGCTCCCTGTTGTTATGCCTGTGGCCAATCTGATTGGGTTTTTCACTCCATCATTATTTAGTTCACTACTAGTTAAAATTCAACTATGAAATCAAAATCCTATTTTAAAAACCATGGGGCCAGTTAATTAAAAGTATAATGAGGACCCAGAGTAATATTTTAGATTATTAGTATCACTGATATAGCAATATAATTATCAGTAATATTCATATCAAATACTATCTCTAGTCCTAATTATAAGAGCTAGTTGAATAATTTGAGGAGATTAAGAAAATAAGTTAAATTAGTTATCTGTAATAAATAAGTGTTGTCTTTTCTAAAGTATCCTTGCTAATCAAGTGTACTGGCTAGAATTATCATTATTAGAAGGACTGTCTTGAAAGAAAATACATAAATATGAGAGACAAAATGGATTGGGGTCTTATAATTAGGATCAAAATAAAAGTCAAACGAGGTCTTATATTAAGGACCGAAGGTAGTATATAGGAAGCTGAGACCTGTTCAATTCAATTGATTTTAAAATGTACAAGAAGTCATAATTGTAGATAGTGTGATTTATTTGGGAAACCCTTTAATGTATGCAGAAATTAAACTAGTTTAAATGATAAATAATGTCCAACTTTTTCCCTCCTTATTCGCCTAAATTCAAATTAATTAAACTTTGTCTCAAAACTCCAAAGTCAATTGGACAGCCCTTAAGAATTGACGGTTACATGTCAAATTTTGAGTTATGACAGTAATTAGTCTCGCCCTTATCAGTTTATAATAATCACTAATATTCTTCACTTCTCACTCATGACGAACTCAGAAGTGTATATATGCGCAACACACACACACCCACACAGAGAAAGACAGAATCATAAGATCACTAAGAATGGAGTTTGCAGTATCATGTCTGCTTCAAAATTCTCATCTCTTCACCTTAAGCTTATGGTTGTCAATTTTCATGGCAGCTTATACTGCGACTAATGTTCTCTCCATGAACCAGAATTCAGAATCGTCTCCTACTTTTCCCGGTAATTTTCTCTTCGGAACTGCATCTTCCTCTTAACAGGTTCATTTTCTATTTTGTTTTTCCCAGTTCTTCATATATTACAATTTAAACATAACATATATATGAATGGAAATCAAGGGGTTTGATCATCATCATATATACTTGTGCGTGTCTCGGTTTGCAGGTTGAAGGAGCTTTCTTGGGTGATGGGAAGGGACTGAGTAACTGGGATGTTTTCACTCATAGACCAGGTTTTCTGTTTCTTTAATGATGAACTTCTCAGTATGATGATGGCTTTGATGGTCCACCTCCAGAAACCTAATTAGAAACTAATGAAGTAGAGAGCTATATT